GATACCTTTGATATATGTTCAACTAATACTACGAAGACTGGTTGGAATATAACCCATAATCCCAATTGTGAAAGAAAACAATTTCAATGTTAATAATAGAATAGATCAAAGGTGAATGCAATTTTTAGTATCGATAAAAAAAAAAAATTAAAAATTAAATTAAACCCAAATAGTAATTTTAGTTGAGCACGTTAATGCCCTCAATGATCCCAATAATGCTTGCAAAAAATATTATAAATCTCAAAAAAAAAATTCATTAAAGACGAAAAATAAATAAGTTGTTTGTTTTTATCCAATAAAAATAAAAAAATTTTCCAAATTATATTATCACCATTATTAAAGTTTATACACACACAAACTTGCGAATAAGATATTTTAATTAAATTTAATTTACAAGATAATTTTGGTTGAAATTTTTTTTTTTTAAAAACTTTTTTTCTTAAAAATTATAACAAAGTCTGATAGTAATAAGAAATAAAAGCATGAAGCTTAATTCTTTTGTTTTTTATGAATTCACATTTGCGTTAAAGCCAGAGCAGTATACGGTACGAAACATATGAAAATATGATTGATAAGTTTCGTAAATTTAAAATTTGTAAGTTCGTACAAACCATGAAACTTGATACATTTTACTGCGCCTTTCGTAAATTTGAAAATTCAAAATTAATTTTTATTAACCTTTTACGTGATTTTATATATGATGTATGATAATATAACAAAAGTAAATTTTTTAGTAAGTTAAGTGGATATTTGATCCAGCATTGTTTTAAAATTTTATTCATTGAATAAACATTTCTTACATCAATGACGAGGTAAATGTATCAATGAATACATTTAAATAAAAAAAAAAATTCATAAATTTTTTTTGACCGAAAAATTTTTATTTATACCTGGACTTTAGAAGCAATGAAAATTTCATTTGGAACCTGCAAATTTTATTAGCTTTGGTGGGTGGCTGAGAGTATTTTGAATTAGGGCATCCGTTTGAAATTTAAAATAAACTTAAGCGATATTGAATATCGACGATATTTTTTTAAAAAAAAATGGTTTCCAAACGGAATCTGATTAAATATACAGTACAGTATACATTTTTTATTTTGTTTTATTTTATTTATCGAAATTATTTTCAATTAAAATGTTATATATTTTTTTAAATTGTATTTGTATATAATATATTATTTTAGAATGATATAATGAAAAAATAATGAAATAACCATTCCTATTTTATGTCATATTAATAAGTATTTTGAGTTTTAATAATTTTAAACCGACCGATTAAAAATAATTTCAACGGATCCTACTTGCTGCGCCGTCATGCGCCGTCTTAATTTATGAATGGGAAGTATAAGACAATCTTGAGGGTTTTAATGTCATCTTGATGCCAAGATTAAGAAACAGAGATGAAATGTTTTAAGTCCATTACGCAAGTCAAACTTAATGAGGTCAGGAAAAAATGACTTCACACAACACGACATGACGAAATAACGAATTGAGAGATCTCAGAAAAAAGCAATAACATCAATTTTACAAAGAAATTTACTGCAAAAAATTCCTTTACATTAAAAACCGATTACGTTGTTTTATTTTATTTTTTTTTTTTTGTAATACGAAAAAAAACAAAAACCAAATCAAGCTATTTTTTTTCGGACCGAAACTCCATGATCGACATTTGCGTTAACTTTGTTTCACAACAAAAGTCGTAACAAAGTTATGTTGTGTCTTATCACACGTTTCTTTGCACCACTATTAATTTCGGATTTTTCCTTTTTAAACTTTTTGAAAGCCTTTGGTTTTAATCTTGTTTGGACGCACAAATCATAAATAGTATAATGAACTTCCGGATTTAATTTTGTAACCTTGACTCCCTAAATTTATTATAAATAGTTATGTTCAAGTTTTTTAACATGATAAATATCAACCCGACACTTCCTTCTTGATATTTTAAAATTTAGCAATGATGCAAGAAATCGGTGAAGAATTTGATCCACAAGAACCTTATACTCGCCGTCTAAGCAGTATCCTTGACGAATATCCTGAAGGTTCTCAAATTCTTCGTGAAATTCTTCAAAATTCTGATGATGCGAAGAGCACCGAACAAATCTTCATGTTGGATCATAATACTTATCCCTCGAATCATTTAATCGATCCTATTTTGAGTAATTATAAAAAGTTCGATTTGAAACTTGATAGGTTTCAAGGTCCTGCCTTATTATCGAAGAATAATTCCATGTTTGATGAAAGGGATTTGCGATCCTTGAAAAAATTGGCCAATAGCGAAAAACGTGATCAATTTAATAAAATTGGAGGTAAATTTTTCTTTAAAGTAATTTTGATCTAAAAAGTACTTTTCACTTTCATTTAAATATTTGAATAAAAATACTATTGTTATTTTAGTGATGGGTATCGGTTTTAATTCGATTTATCATATTACCGATTCCCCTTCTTTTATTACTGGTGATAAACTCGTCATTCTTGATCCACATAGATGGTATTTTAATGGTGGTATCCAATTCAACTTTGTCCAAAAGAATTTAGCCGAAAAATTTCCTGATTCTTTTGCTCCTTTTAGAATTCCTCCTTTTAGTATCCCATGTGATGAACCATTTAAAGGAACTTTATTTCGTTATCCTCTCCGTAATGATACGATTTCTGACATTTCCAAAAAAACTTTTAAACCTAAAGACATCTTGGAAATCTTTCGTAAATTTTATGAAAATGAAAGCATTAATTGCTTGCTATTTTTAAAATATGTTGAACGGATTTCTTTTTACGAATTGAAGGAAGGTGCCACAGAACCTGAATTATTATATTCTATTCAGTTGGAAAATGCGAACTCAGTGCGAGAACAACGTCGTTTATTAGCAGAAAACATCGTTCCGATGATGGATTTATTAAAATCGAAGAATCTAGGTTGCAATAGTCAATTAGAATCTTCTTATATTGCATCATTCTGTCGTCAGAAAGGGAGTTTTAAGGAGGATACGGTCTCTTGGATAATTTTGAATTATCTTAATGACTTGCAAGAAACCGAGGAATACTTTCAAAAGAATTTTGGAAAGAATATCAGGAACCACAAGTTTATTCCAAACGTTGGATTGGCCGTTCCATTAAATGATTTAAATATTCTAGGAAGACTATTTTGCTTTTTACCATTTCCCATACATATGCCCTTTCCTGTTTCGGTACATGGATATTTCGCGGTAAGAATCAAATGGTCTATGATTATATAATTTTTTTTTTTAATATTTATCTTTTTTTTTTTAATTTGTTGGACAGGTTAGTACTAATCGACGTTCTTTATGGTCTTCTCAAGATGATGATGAATTGGTAAATGAATTTTCTAATTTAATGTAAATTTTAAGCAAATCAAAGGATAGATTTATTAACGCTTGAACATCGCACCATATTAAAGGCGGTTGATGCATTAGCACATTTAATGATTTCATGGAATCAATATTTATTTGAAAATGTTTTACCTAAAGCTTGGGTAAGGTTACTTTGTGAACTTCCACATAAGGTTCCTAATATTCGATCGGATGATGTATATCAATTCTGGCCAATAATTAAAAAAGGTGCATCAAGTAGCGTAATCACTTTTTGCCAGAAATTATTACAAAATGTTATAAAAGTACTTGGTGTGAAGGATCGTGTATTTAAAGGACCGTCATTATCAAATACCATCGGAAAAGTACCCGAGAATTTAAAAAATTCATATGATGCATCCTCATTTAAAGAATCCGGATTTCATTGGTTATCACTTTCTATTGGTTATTTGAAAGATAACTTACATTTAGAAGATATGTCAAATTTACTTAAAATCTTTGGAGATGTTGGTTTTCCGATAATATCGGTTCTAAACGAAATCATTGATGCATTAAACAATTCCATACATAAAGACTTTCTTAAAGTTTTGTCTCCTGCCATTGGTCGTATTTATTTAAAGCACAATCGTGATACATGGCAAGATCAACTGTCAAAAGAAGAAGCCATAGCATTATTTAAGTATGTGTTAATAATGAACGAAAATTTTTGATGAAATGGAAGGTTTAAAAATAATTCCACTCGAGAGTGGTAAACTTGGTACTTTTGTCACGATTTAGCGATTCTATTGTGTATGTTAGTCCAGATGATGATTATGAAAAAAATGTTGAGCACCATATCTTTAAAGATTAATTAGACAAATTCATTTTAAGGAATAATCACGGGTTGCGTAATCGTTTGCGTGAACTTTCTATAGATGGGTGGAATCTAAACATTAAAATCTTGGATGCATATGCCATTGCCGATATGATTAGATTTACACTTGATCCAGTAAATCCATTCCTTGAGGAGATGCAAATATCAAATCATAGTGTATGGATTCATAAATTATGGGATTATTTAATAAATAGAAATTGGTAGGGTTTCCGTTTGAAATACAAATTGCGGATTATCGAATTGTTTTCGAATACTCGAAAATCAATTCGGATACCAAATCATTTCGGATGTCCGATATTGTATATACTTTTTTTTCATTCGCATTTTTCTCTTTTAGTTTATTGGTTTTTTTCGATATTTTTAAATTTTTCGATTAGATAAGCTTTAGTTTTATTTTTTTACATTCTTTTTTTTTATTTTTTTTTATTTCATTTATTTTAAAATAAATAAATAATCGATCGATAAGGTCGATCGAAATGATTGATAATCGTCGATCGAAATGAAATAATATCCGAATTGATTTTCGATATTCGAGTCGATCGAATTGATTGATAATCGAAATGATATCCGAATGGATTTTCGATATTCGAGTCGATCGAAATGAAATGATATCCGAATGGATTTTCGATATTCGAGTCGATCGAAATGAATGATAATCGAAATGATATCCGAATGGAAATTGATTTCAATATTCGAATATTAATCATGTATTTTCGAATATTTGAATTTTTATTATTTACAAACAAATATTCGAATTTTCTATTTTCAAACGGAAACCCTAGAAATTGGGATTTGAAAAGGTTTGAAAATATCCATTTAATCCCGACAAGTCGCTCTACTCTTAGGAAATTAAAATCCTCCGAAAAAAATTTTATCCAATTAAACGAATAATATTTCAATCACACCATCTTTGAAAGTTATTTTCGAAAATTTGGTGCCGTATTTGTAGACAATCAATTTGAAGAAATTGCTAAATGTGATAAGTGAGTTATCTTTTTTTATTTTTTTTTATATGTGAATAACGTCTTTTGGTTAAATAAATTAATCGTCTTTTCTACCTTGCATTTCACTTCACAGAGTATCTTCATATA